ACCAACCACGAGCCCTCCGAGATGAGCAACCGCACCATGATCATCTACTTCGACCAGGTGGGGCGGCCGGGGGGGGGGGGGCGGCGAGGGGCCGGGGGGGCCGCCGGGGGCGGCCGCGGGGCTCGACGGCGGCGCTGACGGTGCCCTTCCCTCGCAGGTACTAGTGAACATCGGCAGCAACTTCGACTCGGAGAGGAGCACTTTCATAGCGCCCAGGAAAGGGATTTACAGTTTTAATTTTCACGTGGTGAAAGTCTACAACAGGCAAACCATCCAGGTCAGCCCCGCTCCGCTCCGCGGGACCGGCGGGCGCGGGGGGGGGGGGGGAGCGGCCCGGGGCGGCGGCGGGGACGGGACCGGCCCCCGGGCATCAGCGGGCTCCCCGCGCAGCCCCCGGCGGCGGCAAGGGGCCGCGGGCACCCCCTGGCCTCTGCGCAGCCCCTGCCGGCGTGGGGTGGCCCGGGCCGGAGGTGGCAGCCCTCCCGAGGTGGTGGCACCCTCCCGAGGTAGCACCGTGCCCGAGCTGGTGGCATCCTCCTGGCCAGGACGGGCCCCGCGCTGTCCCCAGCGCCAGGCACACCCCTGGGCAGAGCCCGGGGAAGCGCTGCCCGGCCCCGGCCCCGGCCCCGCACTGCTCCCGGGAGGTCTCACGGGGGCTTGGGGTGCGGGGAAGCGCCTGTGGCACGGCTCCCATGGCGAATGTAGCTCGGCGTGTGCAGGTACCTGTACGCATACACGCCTTCTGTGCGGGGTTCGATGCGTATGCGCCTCTAGGTAGGGATAGGAAACTATCGGCGTGAAGCCAGGTAGCATAACCTAGGCAGGAGATCTGCCTGTGTAGCGATGCACGTTGAAAAGGTGAACGCGGAGCTGCAGCACCGTGCTGCTGTAAGCGGCTTCACACATCCAGATCGGGCAGGTAGTGTATTATTAATGTGGGGTACGCGGCCCTGAGATCATTAGAGTGAGCTGAGCAGAGCTTATTGACTGTTGTGGCATATTGTCTTTGCTGCCTAACAAAGGAAAACTACCTCCTGAATACACTTCAAACGCGCTGACTCTGGCGGCTGTGGCTCTGCACCTCACGTCTCTGAGGTTTCGCATAAAGCCATCTTTCAATAAGTATGAGCTCTTTTCATAGCCTGAAAACATACAGGCACCCTATTGAAATCCTTCAAAATAGGATCAATGTCCTGTTTTATATGCACCGGGTGTTTTGATGTGGGTCTGAAACAGCGGTGAAAGCCTTATTCCTTTAGAGTACATACCTTAGCTGGGTTCGGATTGATATTTCATTTTTATGGGGATGGAGTTTCAGCTGTCAAAAGAGGCCCTTTCCTAACTAAGCATTTTACCTGCTAGGCGAGCCCCGGCGGTGTCATTGTCTGACTTTAATTGACAGAGGGCTTTGTTTTATCTTGCTCTTTAGGTGAGTTTGATGCTAAATGGGTGGCCAGTGATTTCTGCCTTTGCAGGGGACCAAGATGTGACCCGAGAAGCTGCTAGCAATGGAGTCCTGATTCAGATGGAGAAAGGAGACAGAGCTTATCTAAAACTGGAGAGAGGCAACTTGATGGGAGGCTGGAAGTATTCGACGTTCTCTGGATTTCTAGTGTTCCCGCTTTAAAGCACTTCTCAACCGAGCAAAGGGAGAACTGCAAGTCAGAGAATCTCTTACAAATTCCCAAGCCGTAGCTGGGTTTAAAGAGCCGTGGACAGCAGACTTTTTACATTCAAATATTAAAGAAGCTAAATCCTGCTTAGGTTTGTGTACATCCGCTTTGAAGAATTACTACTTATTTTTGTTGTGTTGCAGCCAACAGGCGGGAGACACTATAATTGATCAAACCCCCATTTATATTCCTCTCTCTCCTCCCACAAAATTAGTTCCCATCTCTGTGTCACTGGTGTAATCTGCCATCGTTCCCCCATGGTTTCTGCCTCACACAAGTAGACTTTAGATATTTTCATTGTCCTTTACAGCATATTTTGTAGTTTTGTTTTTAAAACATGTTAATCTTGACTCTTTCTCTGAGTTTAACTTTTAAAAAAGCAAAGTATTTTTGAATACGTGGATGCCATGATGGAAGGAAAAATGCAATTCTTGCTGTGTACTGGCTGGCTAAAGGAAAAATTTATACACGAAGAACTATTCACAGCTAAGGCTGACTAGAGTATTTCAATATTTCTATGTAATTCTGAGTGATTGTGAAATTTAAGGCTGCTAAATGTTTTGATGCTTGTTTTGCTCTTGTAAAACGTGGCCCAACTAAATGCCAGGAAGTATATTGAACTTTTACTATTACTCTGTAATATATGTGTGAATATCGAAAATTAATTTTTGCTTTAATTCAATAAAGTTTCAATGGGACTTTTATTTTTCTTAACCAGAAACAAGGTTCCTCACTGCAGGCAGGCGGGGGGCGGCGCGGCGCAGGCAGCGGGGCGGGAGAAGCGCGCAGCCCCCGGGCAGGGCCGGCGGCTCCCCTAGGCTCTGCCGCCCGGCCCCCGGAGCGTTCACCTGTACGATATCCTACAGACCGGATCGCATTTTATACGGCCGTCTAAAACTATCTGACGATGTATACTTCGATGCTCGTATTATTTATTCGCTCGTATTATTTTGTTTACAGCCTTTTCAAGATGTAAATGCTATAATTTTGCAGTACTCAAAGAGATGACTACTTTTATTAAACGGTGCTGACCCGGATTGCGGTTGTATCTAAACTTTGGCGTGAAGCGAAGGGGCTCGGCGGGGCTCGGGGGCAGCCCCGCGCCCGGGCTGCGGCACACCTCGAGGGAGCTTGGCGGCCCCGGCTCCCCGCGAGGAGCCGAGCGAGTGCTCGGGGAGGGGCAGCGAGGCGGGAGCGCTGAGCGCCGGGCCTTGCTCCCGGCTTTGGCCCCGGCCGGGGGCGGCCAAGGGCTGCGCCGCTTCGCTTCCAGGTGCGACGCCGGAGCAGCTCCGCAGCGGCCGCTGCCCCCTCCGGGGGGCTCGGCGGCTCTGGGACCCCTCGGTCCCCGGCGGGAGCTGCCCGGGAGCCCCGGCAGCCGCCGGCTTGGAAAGGACGGAGCTCTGCGGGGCGCGGATCGCGGCGGGAGGCGGCTTGTGCTTGGAGTTGGGACCCGCGCAGCGGGGCCGGCGTGCGGCTGCCGAGCTGCCGGCAGCGCCTGCCCTGCGGCAGCGCCCGGCTCTGCACGGGGCCGCGGGGCTGCTGGCGGTGCCGATGCTCCTCTCTGTCCTTTTTTTTTTTTTTTTTTTTTCGTCCCTCTCCCTCAAGGCGAAGCAAACCAAGCCGCCACCTTCCTCCCGCCGCAACTTTCCCCGGTCGTTACAGCCCGCTCAGCGCGCCGCAGCCGGGCGGGGCCGTGCGAGCCCCACACCGATGGCCGCCGAGCCCCGCGCCACTGCCGGGCAGCCCCTACCCCGCCCCGCGGCGCTGCCGGCCCCGCCGGGACCCATCTCGGGACCGATCCCGGCCGCGGCCGCCCCGCTGAGCCTCCGACGGGGCGCGCCCGGCCGCCGGCTCCCGGCTGCGCCCGTGGCCGCGGCCCCGGCGTGGAGCTGGGGGCGGCGGGGTCAGGCCCCCGCCCTCACGGGCCGCAGCCGCCATTTTAGGCAGCGGCGCCGGCCGCCGCCTCACGACGGGCTCGGGGCCGGGCGGGAGCGGGTGGGGGCCGGGCGGGTGCCCTGCCTCGCCGAGGGGGCTCCGAGGGGCTCCCGCGGGTGCCTCGGCCTCGGCCCCGTCTCCTCGGGGTGCCGGCGGCCCCGTGCCCCTTCCCTCAGCCGCCCTCCTGCTCGGCCCGCGGCCAGGCACGCGGCCGTGCCTTGGCGTTGAGCCGCGAGCGGCTGTGAGTCCTGACAAGGCTTTAATGTATCTTCAGTCGATGTAAGTAATGTCTGATTGAATTTATCGCTGATTAGAGTTGAGCATCAGTTTACACAACAAGAAATTATGTTTCATTCAGTTCATTAGCATGACTAGTGTTTGGTTTATGAGCATATCACTAATGGTAATGACCAGAGCTGATTGATTTCTAATGTGAATATAATTACACAGATGTAGGGGAATTAAAGAAAAAAAAAATCCGCATTGTTAATTGTTGGTTTTTTAGGGAGCGCGTGTGGGGGCGAGGGGGGTGGAAAGGGAGAAGCAAACCAACTCGCTTCCGCGTGAAAAATGTGAACATAAAGATTAATAGCTCCGGCAGGAGACAGCGAGCTGGATCCCGGAGAAGAAGTCAAATGCCGTTAACCCTGGGAATAGTTAATGCACATCCCATATTGCAAAACATAATTTTCCTTCTTCTACCCCCCCAGGTACGGCTGGAAGCTCGATAAGTTCGCTGGGAAGAGGTCGTTCCCGAGGAGCGGCCAGAGGCTGGGCTTCGCGCATGGCCGGGCAGCCAGCTCCCTGCAGCCTGTGCCGGCAGCGGGTGCCGAGCAGGCTCGGCTGCGGGGCAGAGCCGCTGCCGGGCAGAGGGGAGAGCTGCTTCGTCCTCCAGGGTCGGAGAGAGCCGCAGAGCTGCGGGACTGTGGACGGCAGCGCCTGGCAGGGAGCGCCTCGCCTGCCCCGCTGCCCCAATCATTCCTGGCTGCAGCAGGGTGAAGGTGAGCGAGAGGTAAGAGGAGCGGAGCGGGACGGCGTGGTCCAGCCGCCGGGTGGGATTCTGGAGGGGGGAAGGAGGGGATGGTACTCAAGTACAGGGTTAGAGCTGGTCTGAAGCAGCTCCTGCACTTCAGCGCTGTCTCATCCGTGTGCTGTGTCCCCGAGGGTGACCTCTGGGATCATCCGTTCCACTGAAGTGGAAAGGTTATCAGGAGCACAGTGATGAGAGAGTTTTGCTGGAGGTGCTTCCAGTGGCGTGTGAGGGATGAGGGGTGCAGGCTCATGTTCCACGGGAACCCGTGGTGTAGAAGTTGGGGGAGTGGGGGCAAGAAGGAGCGGGAGGGAGGCTACTTGCAGAACTGATTTTCCTCTGGCAGGGTCAGAGGGGGAATTATGGGGTATATTATGCCAGCTAAGAGTTGCCAAAAGGCCTGTGTGATTGCTTTCCCACAAAGAAAAGAGGCCTTGTGTTTCTGTGGTGAGAAACGGGCCTCACTGTGGGAGAAGAGGGCTCAGGCAGGACTGGCAGTAATCGGTCACAGCGTCCTTGGGACATTGCTGGTCTCTGTGCCCTCAGCACTAATGCTGGAAACCCAGCATGAACCAGGAGCTGCGTTGCCTGCACTGGGGATATCTGAATTAAATGAATTTCTCCCAACTTCCATGAGCACCTCCAGGCTTCCATGGATGCAGGGCAATGGAGTGCCCCTGCTTCTAGTGGTCCTGCATCCATAACAGTGTTCACCCTGGTGTTAGCAGCTGCACACATCTGAGTGTGGAGCTCTCCCTTCCTAACCCCCATTGCAACTGTGAGCCTTCCATTGGACAAGTGAGGATGATGATGCTGTTCATCCTGCAGCTTTAGACCTATGTTGAAGCCACAGTAAAGAGCCATTTTAAGTTCTGGCAGTTGAACTGAGTTTCTTACAGTGTGAGATTTCTAACAAGAAGCAGTTGATGTTTTGAACTGCTGAAAAGCCCAGTTTGGGGAATTTTCCTTCAGGAGGGAGTGGTAGTGCTCTCAGAGTACGGTTCTAGCATTGCACAGGCATCTGGACTTGCAGAGAAATTCCCAAGAGTCTCCTGCTTCTTGTGCCAAGATCACTAACAAAAACGAATGGAGTGTCAGGAGTTTTCCCTGAAGACTGCTGCTTCCAGTGCTCTGGTTATCAGCTTATCAGCAGCCTTTTAATTCTCATTCTGCCGTAGCGTAGCAGGTCATACGCATTTTGATCTTAGCCTCATGCTTTCTCTTACGTGCACCCCTGCTGCATTTTGGAGAGTAGTTCTATTTGGGGAAGACTGTGAAACTCTGCTAAGCTATCAGAGGAAAGAAGACCTGAGGAAGAGAAGTGGGAAGAATTTAAGCACAAGAAAGACAGATGTGATTACTTTTCATTAATTAATCTTGTTGTGTACAGTATATTAGAAGACATATCAGTGCATCAACTTCAGTTATATTTCCAGTCTGAAATATTGAAATTTTCTTTGCCAGAGATATCCAGAAATAATCTGCCTTTTTTTTTTTTTTTTTTTGGTCTATACAATTTTCATTCAGGGGCTAGAGGATCACAGAAGGACTCCTGCTTTGTTTGCAATTAGTAGTCAGTCAGCTTATAGTGGAAGTGCTTGTTTCATTCTTGCACTTCAGGGTAATAAATTTTAATGTGCTTTTGATATTTTGGGCTTCAGGGTCATTCAAGTCAGGGCCATCCTCCTTGAGCTTCTTCTATACTGGCAGAGTTTCCAAACTTTGTCAGTAGTAAATAACACTTTTTAAAAGGTAAATAGTAGTGAAAATAAACGTAATCCCGAACGCTTTCTGTTAATAATGAAAATAACAAGTAGCTTCATGACTGTTGTTCTCAGTGTTGCTGTCACCAAAGTAATTCTGTATTTCTCTGTTATCAAATAAAAAGGCTGGGTTTAAAAAAAAGTGAGCATGTCATATTGCTCGTTCTAACATCTTTCCTTCAAAATCCCTTGTGAAACACTGCAGACTACCTGATCTGCTGACCCGATTAATAACATTTCCATTGAAAGAACAGGAAAGTATTGTGTTTATTCCCACTTATGTGGTATTGTTCTTTATTTCATAATTCTTAAAATCTGGTCTACACAACTTGAAATTTCATGGGTCAGTTCTCCTTCATACTTTGATTTTCCCCGTAACTTGAGTAATGTGCTAAAATTATTGATTGGCGTGGATCCGTAACTCCCCTCTGAATGTTTGTATCATTTCTTTACCTGGTTTTGTATTTCCCAGCTGTCAGCTGAGCTGAATTTCCTTATGATTCTGTCTGTTGAGGTGTAGGGAAAGAGAAGCTTCTGATCTCTCTCCTTTTAATCTGATTTTATTGTTCCTTTGCTGTCTCCTTTCTGGGTGATTAATCTCACTATTTTAGCCTTCGAAGAGCCTTTCCAAGGGCTTGATTGTTCTTAGAACCCGGAGGACTGCAGCCCCTAGTTTTAAAACACCTCCTTGGAAATGGCACGACCAGTTCTATCCAGAATAGCAAGGTGATGCTCAGCAGTTATTATATACATAATAATTCAGGTAGCTGTGTAGTTTGTCATGTGGCCAACATTTTGCAGTGATGAATTGAGCAGAGATCTTTACTGAATTTCCTGCAATATTCCCAGGTCCCTATCGTGGCTTGATTAAGCTAATTGAGAGCCCAGCAAGTAATTCGGCACCATTAATATGCACAAACTTACCAACTTCGCATTTAGCTTATCATGGATGTGAAAAATTGCACAGCTCTGATCAGAATTAAGTTATTTGCCCACACTGGGCTAAGACATCAGCGAGTCTTGAAGTGCTGGTTTAGTGCAGTATTTTTGGTCTGTGAAAGTCGTAGTTATTTTCCTAATGGAGGTAGTGGAAAGACTTTGTTGACTAGAAGGGGCTTTGGAATGGATATGTGGAGAGAAAATCAGCTTCTTTCTCTAAGTGGAGGAGGAGGATCTTTCATTATTAAAGCAGAGGTGCCAGCGCTCAGATTTCAAGGCATAGTTTTAAATTCCAGTGGGTTGTTAAATGAGATTTTTCTGCTGACGAAAATTTGCATAGCTGTATTGCAGTGCAAATTCTTGCAACTTATTTCACCCGTGGGACACTGTGGCAGAAACCAGGAAATAGTGTTGTTACAGAAATACCTCCCAGTCCTATTACCTCTGCGGTTGCACGCAACTGCTGTATCTGCGCGAGATGAAGATTATGTGGATAACTAGAACTTTGCAAGAAACATATCCATATTCCTGTTCTTCTACTCTATTTTCATTTTGGCTGTGTAATACTAACTGAATTCTTTTGGCCTTGTTTTTGAGATCATATAAAATATCTGGATAACTGGGGGGCATCCCAGTGGCAAAGGCATGGTGTAAGAATGTCGTTGTCCAGAAGTCAAGATGTCTAAGATAGGTTTGTGAAGATAAGTGGAGTGCCATAGGGTCAGGGCTGTCTGGTGTTACCTGGTGATGGTCATGTTAAGTTGCATCAGTATAGAGTTCCAGTGGCCTCGCCTGTTCTAGTCCTGTAACAAACTTGCCCTACTTAAAATATTTGTAAGCATTTATTGAGGATGCAGAAAAGGAAGAACAGTTAAAAGCATTGAAACGTAAATGTCAAGTAAAGTATTTGCTTGAATAACATCCCTTATTATTTTTTCTTCAAATGGTAGATGGATTTATAAAAGAAACCGTCTCCTCTCTGTCCACTAGCAGTCTTTTAGATGATACTGAAGGTTGGAATATTTGTCCTGGGTGGGGAAAAATGTTGTTGAATTGGTCTGGAGCTGTTTTAAGACAAAACGAGTGAAATGCGTACAAAAATGAGGAGAACACGGTATCAAAGACAGAAACACAAGTTCTGTTTCTTTTCCTTTTCTGTGGATTTTTATGGCTTAGGTTGTCATAGCATAAGGCAGTGTTGGCTCCTCTGAAACCAGGCAAACTGATGTTCAGGTTCTGTAGGCCAGCCAGTCAATACCCACAGGTTTGATCATGACTGCTTTATGGTAATAACAGTGGTAATGCAGCCAAATCCCTTTGGTTATACTTAGCAGCTGGGAAGATAAATGAGTCCTATATAACTACGAATCAACTGCAGAATGATAATTTTAGTTTAATGTTTAAGCATGTTTTTAATGTTCCCCTTATTGCAGTGTGTTTTCAGCAAAGCTGGAAGATGTTGCAAATACAACGTTGGGGTGTTGTTTCTAAATTGATATCATTAAGAGCTGGTCTGATTAGTGCGATTAATGTCAGCATGTTCCAAAGAAGGGGAGGGTTCTGTTTTTCAGGTTGGCTTCCCGTGTATGCTCTTAATTTGAAGTTGTGTGAATACATTTTATATTTTCTGAATACATCTGTCACATCTTACCTTAATGGTGACAGCATATCATACCACGCTGTGTTTCTGTCTTACCGTAGCTACACTGGTGTCTCATGAATACTCCTGCACAAAGGCTGCTGCAGGTAGCGCAGCTGAGTGAGTTCCTGTCTGACTCAGACGCCTCTAGCTCAGGCTTTTACCTCTGCAATTTATGGAAATTTTCCTCCTGCCACATTGTGGCCAGGTTGCAGCTAACCTCATGTCCATTCTCAGGGTGGGAGGAAGAATGCCAGACAACCCTTACTGTGTCTGTGCAGCAGGAAAGCATTTTTGCAAGCCTGAAGAGGAGGGAACTGTTATGTGGTGGGAAGCACTAATTGCTTAGGGGAAAGCAAGGTAAGGTCTGGCCGCAGCTGACCACGCAGAGCGAAGCTTTGAACCCTTTGCCACAGCACTTCTTTGCCTACAACACTGGTAATGTGCTGTTGAAGTACAGTCCTTTAGATGTTGAAACATTTTCTGTGTATGTCTTCTCAAGCTGTTGCTCATCTTCTGTGATCCCTCTACCACTTGTGCAGCTCCTCTTTTTTTTTTTTTTTTAACTGGTTTAGTCAGTTGCTTCTGGTAAAGCCCCATACTTCAGCCCTGCCAGTCAAGAGAAGGCCGACTTTTCTGTGTTAACTCAGTTTGTCTGCCTCCTTATGTCTACTTCTGTCAGCTCTGAGCTGAACTTTAAACAATTCTTCCCATTAGTACCCCTTCCCAGTTTTCTCCACAGCCTTTATGGGTTGTTCATGCTGTGCTTGTGCTTTTCCTTTTCTAACTTAATCTTACTTAGAAAGAAGAATCCAGTTGATTTGCAGTATTACAATCTGTGCTGGAAGCCAGGAATACGTTAATTCTGACTGCAGTACTGGCTACCCACATCTCGCTGGTTCTTTAGGAAATGATAGATATCAATATATGGAGTTACTTTGTTGAGAGGCCTACAGTTTTGCAAAACACTTAAGAATGTGCTTGATGTGAAAAATCTGTTTATCCAGTTGAAAGCAGCAAGGTGCTTCATGTTATTAAAGTTAAAGCACTTAAGCATAAGTTTATCAACCATGTATACGTTCAGACTGGGTAACAGAAGAGGGTTATTTTCTATTTAAATCAGCAAATAAGTGGCCTTTTAAAAATTGGAACATTCTTTTAGAAGGAATTATGGGCACCAGTCAGCCCATTCGAAGGTGGATCTTGTCTGTGAAGACAAGAACACAGTTGTGGAGCTTAGTTCTGTATTTCCATTTAAGCCCAAGGTGGACGGTGCTTTTCTTTTACTATTATTTAAAAGTGTATTTTTATTGATGCTCATTGGCATGCTGCTGTGCTGTTAAACACAGTACCAGAAACTAATAAAAAACATTGCTCTGGGTTGTAGACTTAGGCAAGAGCTGAGGTGTGGTTTCAGTGTCTGCCTTGCTGAACCAAGGAGATAAATTGTACACGTGTCTTTGGCTGGCATGCTTTGCTTTGTTATCTGTACAGGGTAGGACAATGACTCTTCCCGTTCCCAGTCATGCATGGCATAAGAGCCCAGAAGAATTACCCTAGTGGTAGCTCCTTAAATAAGCATCCAGCCAGGTTCATGACTGAGCATGAAGTTTCTCATGGTTCAGAGTTCAGTGTTACAAGGGAATAAAATACTTCTCACTAAATAATAGTGGGAACACAGTAGGAGGCATTTTGTTGAGGGCATACAAGCTATTGTCCTACCCTTGCCCAGAAAGCAACATACGTCAAACAGAAGATGTCTTCCTTACATTCTAGCTAAATCAATGTTATTTCTTCCAGAATACTGCTGCTTCCATTCCTGGAGATAAAAAAACATAGCTCACTGTCAGATAATTCTTCCTCTTGGGCTTTCTGTACTTGACCAGTGGTTTTTAGTTTTGTTAGAAAAGGAAGACTTTCGTTATCCCCGGAAGATTAAATTGCCTTGCTGGCAAATCTGGTTCATTGAAGAAAGAGAGGAGGAAAAAAGCAGATAGGGAAGAAATAGAAAAGAAAATAATTCAGGGTATCTTTATAGTCTCCTATTGTTAGGATGTCAATTACTATCATATATCACCTATACCACAAACTTGTCATACCTGATGTTATTTTTTCTTTTTTTTTTTTTTCCTTCAACTAGTAGGAAATTTCTCAATTATCCATAGGATTTTTTTGTTATTATTATTATTGTTGGTCTCATCTTTAAAATATAGCCGTGATGCTCAGAGATTTAGTTTTTAACACCCAGTTGAGAAGGATGAATATTAAAGGATCATAGTTTTCCTATGCAGTTCTGCATTCCATGGAAATGATTGCAGAAAATAGTGCCCTTTCCCACTTTTTTTATATGGTACTGCTCTGTTTCAAATGCTGTTACCTCACACTACAGAACTGCCAAGAATGCTAGATTAAGCAGTGTATTCCATAACCGTGGGCTCTGATTTAACACTGTAACACCCCTTTTGATGAGTGCAGAGTGTGTTCAGTTACTGTAAACATGGGCTTTCCAAAATGGGCTATAGGAGTAGAAAGAAGGTTAATGAACCAGTTACTGAGGAGAAGAAAAAAAGCTTCTCTAATTGACAAAAAGGTCTGCAGGGAGTCAGCTAGATTGCATGCAGTTGAGGCAAGCAGGCTGTGGTCTGTGATCTTGGACAGTGGTTAGTTATTGATGACTGTATTAGGCGTTCTGATTCTGAGAGACAGCTGCAGTGTGCTTAGCTCTTAGCAGTTGTGGGGTTGGATTTTTTTTTTTTTTTTTTTTTTTTGCTTCCACCAAAATCAGACCTTCAGGGTACCAAGAATTACGGGAAGCACATAGTCTCAGTACATGTCAACTTGCTAACTCTAGGTACAGATCTTCCCTTTTCTCAGTGATGTGAGAACAAGAGACTGATGTCCCTTGGAGAGCAGGTATTCACCCCAGCCCTGGAAGGACAGGCCAGATCCACCACTACACCCTGGTAGTGCTTGTTTGACCTTCCTAGAGCAGCTCCTGTCCCAGAAGCTCTGCTTTCAAGCTCCAGGATTGACTGTGGCCACAGAAAGTTTGTCAGAAGGGCCACTGGCTCTCTCAGGGAACAGAAGACAGAGGGTAGATAATGAGCAGAGCTGAAAGGTGAGAGGTGTCTTCTAGTTCAGCTCTGTCTTGGTCAAGTTCTTGATCCTTCTTGATCTACCTAGTTCTTAGGTAGAGTCAGTTCTCGTTTTCCTTTCAATTACAGCTCCATCCTACTTTTCTGTCCCTTCCAGCATGGGGAGTTTAATCCTCTCTCAGTTCTATTTCAGTTGTGTTTTTTTTTTTTCTTTGCTTTCATGACTCAGGACTTTTTTTCCTCTTTTCCTTCATGCTATGTCATTTCTTCTGGCTGGAGTGGTGTCCTCCTTTTCTGAAAGGAAACATCAACCCTGCAGGAGGATTAAAGGAGACTTTTAAATAAATTCCTATGGAGCCTCTACCCCTTGTGAAAACTGGAAGAAAATGGCAGTGAGTTTCAATTGTAGCGAGCTTTATTTCTGTACAGTATAATGTAATTCATAATGTTATCAATATCTATAAAAGCATAAAGAAAGGATGGCAGTAGGAGTTACAAAGAGAAAACAAAAAACACAGACATAATAAAATCAGAAGTCTTATTAAACTTCAAAACACTGTAGAAGAGGAGAAAGGATTGGTCAGAACCACAAATCAGAGGCTATTCTGGAAAAAAACAACTCTGTAAAGATACAAAAGTGAAGATGGAAGATGAAGCCCCCTCGAGCCAGCAAAAGAGAAGCTCACCTAAGCCAGTTCTAACTGAATAGTTTAGGAACTGGAGAGAGAGAGAATGCTTGGCAATTTTGGCTTATATTGTGTGCAGAAAGAAAACATAATCACAAACTTTCCTCTGGGTGAAGGGGATCAGAGACGCACTGTCAATTTGACTATATTATTGAGACAGTGTTTAAAAAATAAACAAACAACCCTGCAGCTTTCTCTTCAAAATTCCCCACTGTAACAACAAATAAAAGTAGTCCAAAATTTAAATCTCAAACATCTCAATCAGTCAAAACCTAGACAGAATAAAGCATGATAGATTCTTTAAAGTTAGTAATTGTGTCAGAGGTGAGATCGCAAGATCTCTTCTCCTTTAATGAACGTGATTAAAACCATGGGGCTTCCTTTCCATACCACCTTGAGAAGCAAATAACACAATAGAGAACTGCATCAATAAGGTGTTAGGTGCTCCATTCTTAGTTCACCCTGCATTTTGTACCAACTCCAGCTGCTGGTAGCAGGATACGGGGCTGGGTAACTTCTGTCCAGTTCTCCGGAGTGGAGACGTGTCTGCCAGCAGTGGGGAGCTTCAACCTGCGGCATGGGCACAATGCCTTGAAGGCTTACAGTTGTTTGCTGAAATAAAAGCAGAACTGAATGAGATTTTTATGAGAGAGCATCAATAAGATAATGACAAGTTATAGCAAGAGCTACACCGCGTTTAGTTTCTTTGTCGTAGGGACGGCTACCATTATTTTGCCCTGAAGACTATTTTCAGGTTATTAGAATCTGCATAACTTTGAGTGAGTTGCTTTTCAAGTTTATTTTATTGAGTCAAATGATAATTTGCATCAGTTCTCATGTGTAGGAATCACTGCTTCATTGCATAATAAATCTGTTTCCTTAAACATTCTGCCTAAGGCCTGTGCAGCGTTATGGATCGTTACATTTGAAATAAGGAGCGCTTCTTCTAGTTAAAAAGACTAAAGAAGTGATGAAGCGGGGGAATCTTTCCTTGCACCTCGTGAGATAAAGGTTGCTGTTTTCATGTTCCCAGTTAACTGAACTGTTTTGACTCAAAGACAGACTCAGGTTGGGAAATGACAAAGAAGCCTTGGACAAAACAGCGGATTTCTGATTTGATTAGTATTTCAGGTTGATACTGATTCAGAGTTGTTACTTCTACTTGGACCTAGCAGTAACTACTTGTTTTCTTTTGCTAGCAAAATACCGGGCACTTAAGACAAATCCATGTTACTGATATTAGGGTATTCAAGACTTTTTCCTCATCAAATAAGCGAATTCTTGGTTTGGCTTTTCAAAACTCAGATGTTTAATTTCTCTTTCAAGTTTTCACAGTGCTATCTTTGTAAGCTAATCCATTTGTAATTTGGTTAATTCCAAATGTTCTTCTGCAGAAACAGGGAAACTGGAGATACGATACCTGTCCCAGGCTAGAGAAGTGAAGAACAAAATCTGTGTATGCTCCCTGGTTGGTCCTGGTGTGTGTCAGGGCTGTGTTGTCAACCCCACAGACCAAAATGTAATTCCCAGCTCGTGTGATACCACCTGCTAATAGGAACTGCTCTTGCAGAATTCTGCTAGCCATAATAAGGTGCACATTGTGTACAAATAAAAACAGCTCAGCTTTATTACCTGGCTTGCATGCCTGGTAATGAATAGAAGGAAGGCTCACTCCTTCACGAACGGCAGAATTTAATATAGTCTCTTCCTGGAGTTGCACCAGTGGGACTAAAAGTTTATCTCAGCATTCCAAGGGCAATAAAAATCTAAATTTAAACTCAGAATGTCTTACTGGGGCAAGAGTACCCAGAGGCTATGTACTCTTCAAACTTTGTTTAGGTCATAACTGCTTATGTAAAGTTAGTTTATACCAGCTAGTTAGTTTTTATGTTTTTGAGCAGTATCTTCATTACGAAGGAGAGACATATCAAGTGGACGGGTTGCACATGAAAGTTCAGCTCTGCTTTCCTACTGCCTGTAATTTAGCTTCTTACTGCTTAGCGCATAGCCATGTGAAGAAATCCCCAGCTCTTAACCTTCATTTTACATATGCCTTTAATTCTCTTCTGATTCATTCCCGTAGTTAGACATCTCAGATATTTGGGGCTTAAGGTTCATATGAAAGGGAGAGGCGGAAAAGATACCGGCTGAAGGCTGGCAGTAGCAGGGAACCTCCTGTTAGCTGGTCACGGACTGGGAAGACTGCGTGGTGAGAGTAACCAGATGCTGGCCAGTGGGCTTTTAGTTTAGAGCTTTGCTGGCCCAGTGGTGGCTTGTTGTCTTTACCAGAGTGTTAAAGGAGGGGATGGGAGGTGGAGAAACTCACTGCCATTTCTGCAGCATGAATATGAGTCAGCCAGGTTGAGGAAACCAACTGGAGGTTTTCATGAGGTCGTATAAAAGATTTGGTAGCCAGGACATCCGTCAAGCACTGTATGAGAGTGTGAATCGCTGCAGCCCGCTAATCGCTAAGACCCTCATGAGCCCTCTTTGTTCTGGAAGGGGTTTGACTGTTCAGTTTAGCCACCAGAAAGGAGAAGTGGACAAAAGGGGTGTGGGAGGGCGTCATTTTGGTGATGAAACCTGAGGGGAAGCAGTATTCTCACCTAGTGCCCCTTGGTAGCCATCTCCCATCTCTGTGTGCAGCTCCCCTGTGCTAGGAACACAGCTGTGCTGCCACAAAGCAGGCAGGGGGGACATTGAGCAGAGCTGTGTGCCACAAACACTTCCATGAGTGTGGCAAAGCCTCAGCCTGACTTGGAGAACTGAATGTTTTGAGTTCTGTCAGGACAGATTATCAACGTGGGCAGCCGTGGGATGTGAAATGTGCTGGTTGTAGGTATTCCTCCTTTCCCTTCGGCTCAAGGTTATGGGCTTCAGATGTCTTGTGTGGCTCTATTGCTCTCCGGTTGCATATCCTGAGCTTCTTTTGGGTTAGAGAAACAGCTGCTGTTGTGTGTCTGTGGGGAGTGCAGAACAGTGCAGGGGAGATGGAGTGACATTGGGACATCTGGCCAGAAAACTGGCCCTTGTAGCCTCGGAGGGAAGTATCAGAAAGCCTAGTGGTTGCTTTGGGAACGTTTACCTGTGCTGTGCCGACCACTGCGTTCTTTTCTTGGGTAGGCTTTGAAAATGTCGTGTTTCCAGTAACACCATGTGACAATGACTTAGCTCCTTGCTGCTGTACAGAAAAGCTGAAATCAAAACTCTGGTAATGTACTTGAAGGTTTGGCTATGCTTATGTGTATGCTAAATAACTTCCTCTGACTTCGGTGAGAGAACCTGCAAATTTACAAGCATTGGAAATTCTCACAGGTTCTGTGTGACTCTGGGTAATCACTGAAGTTGTTTGTGAACAACACCAGCACATCTGTTTACTCTGTTTGTTCATTCTTTGAAATAGTTGTGCTATGGGGAGCACGCACAGTATCTTTAAGGTATTTGATGTGATGGCAAAGATTAGGAATTACAGTGAATCAGACTAAATTACATAAACATACCTCTTGTTATTCAGAAAAGGTCAAAAAATGTTTCAGTATATTGGAGGAATAATATGCATATGATGTAATCTCCAAAACTGACAGCCTCTGAAACTATGGACGAGTCTCGACACAAAGAAAATAGTTGAAGAGAAATCCTTGCCTTTTATAAATGTCGAGACATATTTACAAATCACCTTATGTAAGTCTCCTGATAAATGTTCACACTTCTTTTTGAAGCTTCCTCTTTTTCTGTCAGCTGCTGCTTTATGTACCATTTGTCAATTTTGTCTGCTTTCCCAACTCTACTTAGATTTCCTTTCATCTTTTGATACCTGCCTCACCATGACTGCTGCATCTTTCTAATTTCCTACACTTTTTGCATTTACTGCCATTCAGCCATTTGCATTGCTAATTTGTTTTTGCAGAGCCACACCAGTGTTTTCATACAGCTGTAGCTGTTTGTTGGTTGGGCGCTGCAGTCCCCACCAGTCAGATTTCCTGTGGTAGGCAGATGTGTAGGATTTCCTCTGATGTCTGTTGTTGTCCAGGCTTCCAACCACCAGGGCCACAGCTGACTCAGCATTCCTGAAAACTGAAATTGCTGTGTGCTTTCATCCTTTCCTTGAGTATCCTGCTTCACACATGCTATATTCAGAGGTTTTTGTTAGTTTTAATATAACATTTTTCCAGGATTGTTTGTCTTCACCACTCTGCCTGTGTAAGACAGCTTTCCAGCAATGAGCAAACGTTGGCTGTTCTCAGGTTCTATTTGTGCATGTGTTGGTAGTAGTTACCACCATGATAGTAAATAAATAAATAAAAATAATAATAATTTATTATTTAGTAGAGCTGTCACTTTTAACTACAGACATGCTAGGCCCTTTTGAACAAAATGTTGTTGGTTTGGATTGTGTTAAGATTGGAAACATCTAGATGTTCGTCCAATCTTTCCCAAATATATTTTGGTGTCTATGAGAAAAAAAAGATTTCTGTTTCTCTTTGTTCTCTCTTTTACGTGCCTTATTTTTACTCCAGCTCTAACTGTAGGAGCTGTAAAAATTACACATTTTCAAAGCAAATGAAACATCAGTTACAGCCATATAAACTTCTCTGCGCCATAGCTCCTTCCTTGAAATTCACTGAAGACACCGCTTCTGGGAGCAAAAAATGTATTTGTTCTTTGTGGCACTTTGTTGTTTGGCTTCTTTGAAAGAGCTGGTTGGGGAGCTGGTTGTTTCTGATGGCAATAGCGGTTGCTGCAATCTCAGTGAAGTATCCAACTGTGGCTTTAAGGTGTATATGTGGCATAAATTGTAGCATGAATAACTTTTCTGTAATACATTAAACTTCACCCATTTGTTTCACAAAGGCGTGTAATTCTATACTGTTTATAGTTGGTATCATGATCAAGTTCTCATCCTTTCTGACTTGCATGACTTGCAATTACTTTTTGAATTTCTTCTTAAATATTTTGTAGCCTTTATACTGCATATTCTTCTCCACTGTTTCACTGATTTATTTTTACTCACAGGACCAACAGTTGCAGCTCCTTATGTTTTCAGATTTACTACAAAAGAGCAAACATTTAGAGCTGTGCCAACACGACTATGTGCATCAGAATGTCTGTTCACGTGTGCAGAGGCCTAGTTAAACACCCTACTAGCCACACGCATGTTTTCCAGTACTACGTAGTGCCTGCTGATCGTATGCAGACAGGGTGCAAAGGTTGATGCTACAAACATGGTCCTCAGGAAGTAAATAGAAAAGATTATTTCTTACTTGCCATTAAAAATCACAGAGCTACTAGAAAAGGAAAAATAATCAGCTTTAGTATCTCTCCCTTTCTCTTAAATAATATTATAATAATTAACTTCTAATATGTAAGTTCTTTATAGGTCATTAGTGGTAAAACTCTGCATATATGTGCCTGTTTCAGAAAACAATTCAGTCCATAATCTCATAATGTTGAATTCTACCTGGCAGGTTTATTTGGACTTAATTTCTTTTTCTTCTAATGCTGTTAGCTTGAGAGTTATGAGCCAGGCATCAGCTGACAGCACCAGGGGAAGGATAGGTATTGGCAATGGCATAAAAGCCAAAGAGGAGAAAAAAGAATAGCTATTGTAGCATTTATCAGTATTCTACTAATAGTCTGCTCAGACACAACTCTGGAATAAAATAGACATTCATACTGCAATTTCTTTCAAAGGTTGAAGCTATTCATCTGCAGGGTTACAAGACAAAAGTCTAAACCTTCCAGATATTATAGCTTTTTTATTGTATTGTTATAATAAGAAAAAACACCTCAGAAACCATTTCCTTAAGTGTAAATATTCCACCTCCAGTCTCTTTGGAGGGAATGTGGATGCAAGCAGCTGACTTTCCTAGAATGCATTTTAACATAGTTGATGATTTTACATGTGAAAAGAAAACCAACTATAGCCAAACATCTTGGACAGGTAATGGAGGCAAGAGGCTTTTCATTTTGGGCTTGATTGACCATTCATTGAAATATACAGAAAGGCCGCTGTTGGTTTCCATATTTTTGTTACCGTCTTTTCAGTGAAGGAGCATGGGTTAGTGTGGGCAACGAGGTAAAGAGATGCTCCGCAAGAACTCAGCCTTTTTCACTGTAGAAGAGACACGAGCACCAGGGTGGGAAAGGAGTCTTCAGTCAAGTCTGAGTTTGGAAACTCGCTGGACATATTTCTGTGTGAAGGTAATGCAATAAGCATCGAGGCCGTTGTAATTCTGATCCTGGGTGGCAGACTTTTGTCCATGGTGTTATTAAAAGAGTTCTCTCCTTTTGTACAAAGTTATTGCTGAGCAGGGAGAAAGAATTTCAGTGGGCAAGTAAAATGTCGTATTTTACAAACTCTATAATGTCCAAAAATACTCTTTAAAATGGGTTATATTTACCCAACAGTTTCCTCAAGAAAAATGAGGAATTCATTCAAAAATGAAGTGCTTTTCATCTACTCAGATATTCAATTCTTATATTTTATTGAGATTGATCATTCTGTTTTGTTTTAAGTTTTAAGATGCGTTGTGAGGATTACAAATGAAGGGACAAACATTTTGAATTGAGAAATGAGCCAGAATTTCTAATTCTGGTCGAGAAAATGAAGTAAAATATTTACTTACGTAGAAAAGCTGTATGTTTTTCCAAATATTTAAACAAATGTGTTTGTTCTTTTGAGAAATCCGGCTTTCTGAAATGAAATGTCACTGAATTTTCAGTTGGAATATTTTATTCTTATAACTGCAGAACAGAGACAGTTAACTGGGATCCTTGATAAAGCCTATTCAGTCAAAATATTAGAACACTGAAGTGGGTTCAGATTACATTAGAAAGTACTTGTCATATTCAATATTACTGCCAGAGAAAAGATGATGAAAAAATAAGGAATACCATATCAGTATTCTCAGTTGTAAGCTCTAGGTATTATTATTTTATGGATTTTACATCATTCATTCTTCTATAGTCACTCATGTATGTTTAGATTTGTGCAAGGTGAATAAGAACATTTAAACAAAGTACTATTTTTCCATGGAGTGGTTTTCCATGGTTAAAGTTAAGTGATAATTGCACTGTATTTTTAAAGGCAAGTAGCATTTGGAAATATATAGGAACTCTGTAATAATTACACTGATGTCTTCCACAAGTTTCTGCTGTTCTCACTAGCTAGCCCTTGAAGGGAAATATTTTGTGTGCACGTTTCTGTTGTCTGCCTTGTGTCAGAAAATGCATGTAAAATGCTACCAAGTCTGACACCTACTTTGTCTCCAGTGTTTTCCCTGTGTAAATGACTACCCAGCTGCATGGAAATGGGGAAATGTCTCCTGTTTCAAAGAAAAGTTCCAGCTTTCTGTAGGTTATTCTCAGGTGAAGTCAATGAAAAGGAATAACTGGACATGTTTTATGTCAGGTAAACAGGTATGAGTCTGAGATGAGCTCAGCACTCTTTTTTTTTGGTGAAAGTTACACACAAGTAAAACGCATCGATGAAATGAGATTAAATTCTCCCCAACATTTGTGAGAGTGATTTTGCCTTTTTCATCCAGTTTTGTGGTTTCAACATTGAGGTTTCCACTGGCCTGAAGTTTTTCTTTCTTTGATAGCTGCTGTAAAGGAGGGAGCGTTCTAATTATGAATGAAGAATTTAACATTTAACATTACAAAGGTAAAATAGAAACTCATTTACAAGAGAATGAGCTTTGTCAAATGCACTTTTGTATTGAAGTATTTTAGAAAAATCTCTCGCTAAAGATTTTTTAACACAGAAGCATAGGAATATAATTTCCTTTTTTTGACATGCTTTACCTTTGCAAAGTTACTGGGCTGTTGACAGGTACAACAAGACATATGCTACGCTTACACGCTATTAGTGCAGTTGGCTTTGAAAAATGTCTAATGCATTGGCATATCTGACAATTTAAGGTATTAGTTAACAGTAAGACTCTGTAAATAGAGTGAATTTTAGCTACAACTGCTGACTTGAGCATTCAGTCAACATCTGCAGTACAGGGCTGAACTATATACAACAAATAATGCCATTTTATGCTATGGAGATGGAAGCTGGCATTATACGGTGTGTATGGCTCAGTCTGAAAGCGGTGATAATTGCAATATATTGAAGTTTTGCATTGTAATAAAAATAGAGACCATTAGTGGATACCATTTATGTCATTAGTATTTAGTGGCTGTGTGTTGCAGCTTTTTTAGTGCTCATAAAACTGTCTCTGCTTGCAGATATGTGACAACGCTGATATAAATTTAAATGCTTAGAAATCCATAAGACATAAAATATAGATAGTAAATAGGGGCATAACGTTATAGACAAAAACTTAATAATTTGGCACACAAATGTTTATATATTTGCATGTCTAGTGCAGAGATTAGCATTATGGTGATCACATTTATACTACAGAAGACCTTGATTAAACAGACAACAACAAATAAGGTAAAACTGAAGCACATCATGCGAAAGCAGTGGAGAATTCGTTCAGGTCCCCTAGAAGAGAATTTGTAATGTTGTACATCCTCCACATATGTCTGGTGGGATGTTGGGTTTTCTCTTTATAGACTTTGTGCCAGTTATGGCACCTGTTCCACTAATTAGTATTATAGTTGTTCCTAAGAAGCAGTTATGTTAATTAACCAATAAAAGTGAGGGGAAGGCTGTTAGGGAACCCTGAGATTGAGCTGGGCCGACACTTCTTTAATAGTAATGGAACCAGCCAGCAGGGGGAAGATCATCTAACATCTAGACCAAAACAGCAACGTCTTGCCAGGAATTTGGAGGCTGGCATGAGGGCTGGGGAAAGATGTCTTTGGAGAGTGTGGTGGAAGGAGCCCAGGAAGATTTCACTAAATACCAAATGTCACATGTTAGCCAAATATGCGATCCGCGTTGTTTTGACTTCCCAGTGTAAGACTTTTGTTTAAGACATTCAAGACATTTGGAAGCCTATTTTCACTTCCATGCAGAACATCTCTGGGAAAGCCATTTTCTTTTGATTTCAGGAGTGTCAGTTTTCAGTCCTTCTAGGATCTTTGAGGTTCCCACCACAGTTGGTTTTCCTTTAAGAGACTACCCACTGTGCTTTACTGTCCATTTCTTCTGTCAGTGATGGGTTTAAAATGAGAGATTCTGATACTTGTCTTCGGCATGCTCCGTCCCCATCTTCTTCAGCTCTGACCTTTACATACTGGAAACACCCTGGAGGTTTGTCATAGAGCTCTTGGGGGATTTGGAACTCAAACAAATTACACAGCTCTAAGGGAGAACACAGAAAACCATAAAAACACTTCAGTCATTAGGAGTGAAGTGACAGGAAGCAGTGTTAGAAAAAGTATCTTTCCAATTAAAGTTCCTTTCAGAGCACTCTTCTCAACATTTTTAATTCTGTGTATGTATGAATGGTTTGGCAACATTAGTTTTGTGTTTCAGAAGAAAAGAAAACCTTTGATAAACCTTCTGAATCTCGTCATTAAACAACGATGGGTGAGCTGGGTGGGAAAAATGATAGTAGAAATGGTGGTGGGCATGAACATTTGCAGAAAGCTTATGGCTCACTTAATAGATGCTAAGGTTAGAAAATCAGATGCTCTTTGGGAGCTCAAGTAATAAGGAGAAGTGAAGCATAGGCCTTCTGTATAGTGAATGTAAATAATTCCTTCTGTGGTGCCTACTGTTTCTTACAACCTACCATGGAAAGTGTTACACTGCAAATCTTTATTGTTCCTTTACAAAACATATTTTTGTCTGTTTATCTGTTCAAAACAGACTGAAATGTAAATCTCTAAAATGCTTTCCATCTTCAAAGCATTCAGTGCAGCTATTTATATTCATGTAAATTCTGAAATCTTTTTTGAAACTTTTTATTTTTGATTGCAGGATTCAGTGTCACTTCTTAGCACGTTGAATACCGACGGCTTTGAACATACAGCATGGCGCACAGCGATAACGTCGCTACGAGCGCTACCCTGCTGAGAGACAATTCTAAAGGAAAAGTGATGTGTTGAGTGATATGTTTTATATTGAGGTTGTTGGTTGATTTTGGAATTACGGGAAATATTAAAAAGGATAAAAAAACTCTTCTAATTCCTCTGTACACTGCTAAATTGCTTGTTGCTTTATTTATCCAACAGATATCTGAGAGTAGAAGCCACTTTCTGAAGCCATTCTGTACATAGATTTGTACTAAAAGCACTAGGGGACTGGAATCATAATACAGCTAAATGGGTGAGTTTTGCAGTAGAGACTGTTACTGTTTGACTGGATCTGTGCATGCTTATTAGAAACGTATGAAAAGGAAGCATATGTATTAGAATGATCTTAGTGGGCTCTCTAAAATATATTGTGTCATAAGGCAGAAAACTATTTAGGTTTCTGGCAAAACATGGGTGAATCTGACAAAATTCTTCAAAGAATTTACCTTGGAATAACTACAGTTACCATACAGCCTTATAATAAATTAAGTGTAGCATATTCCAGTAAAAAGGACATGCATATGTAATGGTTTGAGTTGGAAGAGAATGTTGAAATGCTGGCACTTTAAAGTATCTGTAAGGCTATATAAGCAGATTTCCCTATTCTTAATAACGTTTTTTTCTCTGATATTTTCTTATATATCTATTTTTTCATTTCCTTTTTTTCTGACTGATAGGTGATACTTGGTATCAAGTTGCTCTCTTGTACTTTCTCATGTCTTGCAGGTAGACAGTGTATCATCCCAGATTCTTATGGGACAGTCAGCCTTATTAGGTTACCCAAATTGCTACAGGTCACAGCTGAGATGTATTAGTGGAATTTAATAGGAAAGCTTGCCCAGTATAGGCTCAGCTGTTCGTACTGCTTGTTATTGCTTTCATGAGAAACACAGGAGATTATTGAAAGATATGTTTATAAAGTGTACAGTGCAGTACAGCTACAAACCAGCTTTATGCCAAATTAGGTCTTGAACCTGAATGGATTCAGGCATCTACTGCAGTGTGGATTACAGTTCTCTGTGTGACCCCACACATATAGGTTGGCCTCCTCCTGGTTTATTTAATCCATCTGCAAAATTGAGAAAAGCAAGTACCTCAGTGAAAAAACAGGTACGCATCTGGGCCCAACTGTCCTGGGCAAATAAATTACAGATAAAGCAGTGGCTCAAATGAAGGGATAATAAAGAGGAAATGCAAGTCTCTTTGTCTCCTACACACATTTATCATTAACCTAGTGCTGTACTGTGTTTACATTTATTGGGTATGTTGAGTCTCACTGGACTTCCAGCAGAACAGATGTGGAGTCATCACCTTTCCCTGCAATTCAGTACGCTAGAAGCAATGTGTGGTTAGTCTTACTGGAGGAAACCTAGGCAGCAGGCTTTAGTGACTTGTGAATGAATCGATAAAGCATGTTCCTGTAGGTTTCTGAATTGTCTTATTCATTAAGAATGGAATTGGGCAGTGGAAGATTGATTTTTGCAGCAAATCAGTGGGTTTTTTTCCAGCAGTCCTTCATTTAGACACTAGATTTATGGAGTTGTAAAGCTTCATCAAAATATTATGCAGCATTTAAACTACAACAAGAATGATGGTAAACAGTTTAGATGTCCCTTTTCAGAACACTTCTGTGAGCTCAGAATGACATGAGAGCTGATCTTTAGCAATCCCCATCAGGTGACTTGCATCACTGGAAAGGTGCTGAGCTCCCACAGCTGATGAATGTGGCTCAGAGAGTATCTGAAAGACGTAGGCAGGAGACACTTGGAAAGAGAAACATTCATGAAGAAATATTACCCATTGTCTAAGGATGTAACCGAGAGTCACGTCTTTGTATGTCATAGTGGCTTATGCCAGCCCTTGACAATTGAGACGTGTGACATTAAATGCTACTTGAGAAGCAGCCATGCTTTAGAAACATCTCAAGTGATGATGATTGTATAGGCATGGAACCGGTTTAAATTTTGGCAGAGTTGTTTTAATTCTACTTATTTTTGCTCAGTCACCATGTGGCTGTGAAGTTCTGAAAGAACTTACCTTTACAGATGTGCTTCACATGAAAATACTGTTCCTGCATGGTGCACAGAGGCTACCTGGGTTTCAGTTAATTGAGCATGGCAGCACGCCGTGACGGTGTGCTTTCAGGCTAGCATAACTCGCCTGGGGGTAATGCAACGTTCGTCTGGGAACCTGTGTTCTTCATGCACACATGCATTTCCAGCATTTTGCACCAATGTTAATTTCACACATAGACTGGGGACAGGTAAGGGGAGTGCTGCATACGCAGTTCTTGATTAGACTTAAAATATATATATATATATATATAAATAAATAAATTAAGTAGGAATTTGGAACCCTCACGTCTTGAGGGAGCTGGGGAAACACTGATGAGCCATAGTGCTGAGTCCAGACAAAAATCAGCTGAATCAAAATCAACAGCAACATCAACAGTAATACTTCTAAGCACAGTGCTTTATTAAGAATTGATAAATTGCCAGGCATTAGTTCCTACATAGATACTGTTGTAAAATGTTGGCTAGCAGTAAATCATTATATATCCTAAAACAAGTCTAAGCCATGTGCATTATCATAACATATATCGTCACCTGTTATGAATACTTACCTATCTCTTGCTTTTACATACCCACAGAAGATCATAATGTTCTCCAGTAATTCTCATGAGAGGCAGTTACATTAATTTTCTAGTAATTACTATATAAGTATTGATTAATGTTACCCACATATAAAACGCTTAGGAATCATTCATTGCTTGGTGTCAGCCTGAATCTGGATTCTGCCCTGCTGTTCTCTCAGTGGGGCACCTGTATAGACAGCCTTCCTAGCTGACTGCAGGAGCATGCACAGTTGCATTTATCCCTGAGGGATGCCCATGAATACTGTACATACAACGTCAGTGTTACAACTCTTGTAGCGCAGTAACAGATACTGGTGGTACAGTGCCTCAAAGGATGGGTTCGAGTTCAGTTTCCTCCGTTACATAGTCATAATTTCTGATACTGCTTTTGCATTGTGCACTGTGTCATAAGCTTCAGTGTTCAGTAAGTTATTAAGGATGGTGATCATTGGAGAATACAGAGGCTGAGGTAGAAAAGCTGAAGGTCTTGAGAGCTTCGTGTGAGGTGGGCTTTTCTCTTCTGTGTTTTCAGGTGGCCATCTTCCCCTTCAAAGTAGATTATCAGTTTCTGTGGGGTGCCTCCTCGCCGAAGAGCAGGAGGCAGTGAGCTGCAGCAGTGCACTTTCTTTCTCAAAAAGAGTGTTCCTTAGTTGGGAGGAACATCAGCAGATGTTTCTGAGGAGCTTTCCTAAGCAGGGTTTTAACACTGTCTTTGATGTCCAGAACTCTGCTTTAGCCTTGTAGCATTCTCTGGAGCAATTCATAATACAGTAGCCATAATTAAGGGTCTGACACATGATAGTAAGAGAGGAATAAGAGACTGGTTGTTATTCATTGTCACGTTTATAGAAGAGCTTATAGCTTATACAGCTCTCACTGGAGATGAACTGATAGCTGTCACTCTGGGGACTGTTTTTACACCAGCTAAAGGCGAGTTGGTGTACATTATTTACTTAGACTTTTACAGAATCCATTGCAATGGAGGCCTGGAAACTAAAGGTTGTATTCTTAAGAAATACCCATTTAGATTAGTGAGTATATTGTTTGAAACTAGCAAGGAAGCTAGCCCAGAGTGGCTATTTTTTAAAAAGAGAGATGAACAGAATTTTTCTTTTAAAAACCTGAGTGTGGTTAAACGAGAGGAAATGGAAAAATCCGGTAAGCTGGTTGCCCTAAAATTAGAGCTGTCCCTCAGAGCTGTAGGCACATTCTCTCTGTGTTAAACTTTTCATCGTCTCCCTGTGAGAGTGCCCCAGAAAGGAATGTACTTGGATCTGCTCAGGAGGAAGAGAACAGAAGTTGTACTCAACTCTGGACTTTGGTGAGTCCGGTAAGGTAAAAGACATACCGAAGATGTGAATGGATGCATGCAGTTGTTGGCGTGTTTCTGAATGGTAGAAATGCTAATACTGCTGAGGGCAGCTGGGTTATAGTATATCAGCACCTTCGTGGGATCAGAATACAGAATACCGAGTCACTGCGTAGCAGAGAGAAGTTAAAACCAGTGTCTGGGGTGGCAGGTACAGGCTGACAAGCTCAATTGAGAAGATGCACTTTTGAGTGTGGGGTAATAAACACTAGTGTAAACGGGTGAGAGGAAGTGATGGATTTTCCACTTACGGATTAAGACTGGAAGTCTTTCAGGAAGATGTGTTTTAGTCAAGTATGTTGTGGGGATTGATATAGAGGTAACTGAGTAAAAAAAATCTGATGTGGGAGGTCAGACGAGAATGTCTTATGGCCCCTTCAGCTCTTAACGTTTTTAAAATGTTAAACGGAAATCTCTCTAAACTAAGGTTTGAATAGCACATCTCTGTGGAGTTGTAAATAGCTCAAGCTGAAGAGCCATTAAAGTTTTAAATGCTTGCATCAACCCATGTTACATGCTTGAGGACAGAGGCCTTACAATCCTTGATTGTGTAATGGAGATAGCCAAATAATGGACATGAACAGCTAAAAAAGACTGATGTGCCGTGGATGAAAAGGAAAAGGAAATTCAATTCATATTAAAAAATATCAAACTGTCATAAAAGGATAATAGCGTCTTCTGGCTTCGGTTCTGCAGCTGGGCATTTAAAGCCCTCAAGTAAATCCTGCTGAAGTGAGGGGCTGAGGGAACAGGGACTGAGTCCTTCTTAGTGAACTAGGACAAGGATAAGGATGTTACTGACAAATAGTCACCTTTTCCATCTAAGGCTTTTGTTCAAGCCCTGATAAAATTTGAACCATAAAGGATAGTAAATAATAAGAACTAGAAGGTAAAAAAAAAAAAATAATACCCATAAGAGAAATTTTTATTCTTGTTCTTCCTCTTCCTCCATTAATGCTCATGTGGGATTTGTATGAGCCTAGGAAATGTAAATGGAAGTGGTCCCCAATTAGTGATAAACACTGCTGCAGAGCTATAAGGTGGAATCAGATAAAGGCCTTTACTGAAATTCCCCAGGATGAAATAATGTCACTTCTGTCTGAATAGAAATATTTGTCAAAACTTGTCCTTTGGGGTGATAGTTTGTTAAAACAGAACGCCCAAACAGCAGTGCTGAACTGTGCTATTTTAACACTTTCAGGCAGAATGTTCAGTCAGTAAAAAAGTTATTTTAACTTTCTGGATAGAAAAATTTCTAAGCATTTCAGTTTGAGATGATATTAAACTAAAATATACATACATGCTTACCCAAACCAACAGTCTTTTTACATTTAATTTCATGAAAACTTGAGGTCCCTTCGGCATTTCTAGTGTTCTGAGATCTCCTTCTTACTGACACAGAACACTTGGTTGTGTCCCAGCTCTGCCTCACAGGTTCACAGTTTGGCTTGGTTCACAAATGCCACAAGAATTAGTTTAAGACCAAAGCAATTAAATATTTTTTTATGGTTTATTATCAAATTCTAAATACAAAACAGTTCTGACAAATGCTCCCAAAGAGATTAGACAGCTGACCTGCAGACTGCGCACTGCATTTGCTTACATATTTAAGCTATTAGTATTTCTATGAAGATATAGTTTATTAATTCATTGTTATTTTATTGATGTTCAATTGATGTCTTATTAAATGTAAATTAGATATTTGGGAATAATAATGTAATGGGATGAGGCAGGTGAGATTCCCCCAGGATAGTTTGTAATGAAGCTTCAAATTATTAATAATTCTAAGCTCATAAATAAATTATTAAGGGTGAACCAAATCCAAAAATTCTAGAATAAGCTATGAAAATATTAAGTGGTGGTAAACAGACTGTGACTTTTTTGTGATAACGTATATTTGTCACTAAGTCACATAAGTCAGAATCATTCAATGCTCTCCAGTCTTTCCAAAATATTTTGTATTTAGGCAGGTATCTTCCCCTTGTATCCCATTATTATGCTGCACCATTCTGTTTGCAGACTTTTTGCCTTGCCTGGGAACACTGTTAATTTAATATGCTAAGCTGACCTCGAGGGCACTGGGATGACACGGCGGCAGCAGTCGAGTGCTGCAGTATATCCTGCTGTTAACAGCTGGGGAGACCGTGCACTTTTCTGGACAGTCAACTGAGAGCTCTTTGGGGAGAAGCAGGGAAGCTGGCTCTTTGATCACGCTGTACGTGTCAGGAAGGATACGTCCTGTCCCTTAGCTGTCTTTCCTCTTTTCCATGGAAGACATTTCCCAGGAACCGCTCTTGTTTTCTCTAGAGTTAGCAACAAGACCATTAGTGTCCCTCATCTGAGAAAAGAAAGAAAGGAGAAAATACACTCAGGTAAGAAAAGAAGGAGTGCAGAGGAGAACATTCTCTTTAAAGTATTTTCTCCTAGGAGAAAAGGAGTGATATGGAAGAAATGGTCAGTTGAACAAACTTTTTTTCAAAAAGGCCTTCACTGTTGTTTGCTACTACTGCTCAGTCATTGTTACTTAGCATTACAGTTCTCGTTTGGGTTTCTTGTTTTTATTTCAGGATCTCCAGCATCCATCGAAGGTCTTTAGAGATCCAAAGTAAGTATTTTTTCAGTAAAACCATCAAAGCTATCCCAGCCTGTAAAGACAGGCCTAAATCCCAAGGGAGTGTTTAGTCTCTGTATTTTCTACTCATTGCAGAGCAGGGAATTGCAGAAACTCAGCACTTAAAATACTACTAGTAGTTACAAGAGTTAAGTCACGTGGCTACTTAATGAATATGAAAAATCTTAGTAACTAAAATTAACTTCCCAATATTTCTGTCAGTGAAATAAGAGATAACTGAATTTGAAAATTTGGCCCCATGGCTATAGTGTCACACAAGTAGTGGTGACAGGCATTCAGATACTGACTTGCATGTACCCAATGGGAATTTTGGCCCAAGGCAATTCTTCAGGGCTTGTTAGATGGGTTTCCGGTACGCATGGAGCAGTTTGGGGGGGAAAAAAAAGTTCAATTAATATTTTTTTTGAGAGATGAACAATGAGGTGGCTTATTCACTGGCTTAGACTTTCATCTAAAATTATATTCCAGGTATTTGATGATTATTGAATGGGCAAAGGGTTACAAACTAGAAATTTGGCTTAATACAGGGTGCAGGAAAAAAAAAATGCTGCTTTTCTGTTGAAAGACCTTGGTTGCTAGGAAGAGAGTATTCAAGTGTTTGCTTATGTTTTGCTGGGGTTTTTATCAGATAACACTGTGCCTTTTAAAGAATGTTTTCTTAAATAGTGAAGCTATAACCTAATGAAGAAATTGCAGTAATCACATTTCCTCAAAAACTGAGAATTATGATCTCTCTGTAATTATAGCACTGTATTTTTCAAACATAAATCTGCTGGCTTATACTTTTTTTTTTTTTTTTGTAATTATAGAGTTTGAAATCAGCTTCCTGTTAGGGGGAAAAAAAGAAAAAGGAAAATGCTGATCCTGGGTGAGTACAGAGAAGTCACTTGCATGATTGGCAGCAGCCATAGCAAAATGACATTCTGTTTGGTAATTGGGAGTGGTTAGTCATGTCCATCTGTCAGGAAACCCACAAATACAGAAAGCAGATACAGTTTGAATCAGTCTTAATTTTTTTTCCATGATGTGCCAGTCTAGCATGATTTGGTGAAGCTGTTGGCAGATTCCTGTCCATACACAGATGCTTTTCTGTGGGGACATATTAAGCAATTCCTTGGGTCACATGGTTCCTGTTTCCCCTTCATCTGCTTGCACAGGCTGGGCTTGGAAGAAGGCCGTGCTCTGCCCTTGATGCTGTTTGCACACTCCCCAGATTACTTGTGACTCTTGTCAGCATGGTAAGAAACCGTTTGCATGTTCCTCTTGCAGCCATGGATGTCAGAGCACTGTGAAAGATGAACAAATGGTTTGTAAGATCTCTACCGCTTTCTAATTTAGGAATAAGAGAAGTCTTGAGGCTGGTTTCACACTTGGGGCTTGTCTTTTTGCTGTCAAATAAACATTTCTTGTCCTGAAAGAAAATAAGATAAAAATAACTTCAAACACAGCTCCTTTTTCTGCAGCCTTTTTGCAGACAAAGGTGTTATAATTGAGAGAACGTATCTGAGTAAGAACGGAAAGATTCTAATAGGCATTTAAGCTGTTTGGTGCCCTATGTACTTCTGGTGTGTGTACATAAAACCAGGCACAGGGAATGTAGTACGTATCCTGCAGTCTTCAGGGGCACCTAGAAATTTGTGAGTTGCTCCATATCCTTATTCAAAGTTACAAATGTGGAGGTGAAGTAGAGGATAACATAGTAATTGGTAATCAAAATGAAAGAGGAAACAAAAGAAAAGGCCAATAATGCAAGGCAATCATTAACTGCCAAATATAATTTGTCAAAGGTATTCCTTCTAAATTAGACGGTGGCAGCATTTTACCAGATCAATATTGCCTTAGTGACTCCAGTGCAGTCTTGGTAGTTTTTGGCTAACAAATATGAAGAATTGGTATTTCCTATGTTTAAATTACAAGACCAAAAATTTGTTGAGTTAGTAACCCTTAAGTGTGGTCAGAAATCCCTATAAGACTGGGACTGGCAGCATCCAAGGCTTGAAAATGTGCATCAGAGCTGTTGCTTGATTATGAAGCTAGACAACCAGAAGAGCAAAGCTCAACAGCAAACTGAACTCGGTAGTAAATATTACAGCTCAGGGAATGCATGCCCCAGTGCTTGGTGATGTTAGTGGGAAAACATCTATTGACTTCATTTGGAGTTTGAGCTGCCTGTGAAAATAAGTACATTAAATAGTTAATCCAGGTGTTCTTGCCCATCTTCTTCTGCACATCTTACCTAGCCTCATTCATTTAATTAACAACATAATGTGTCCTTGCTGCAACTTAACACTATAATGTATTCTAATTCCATTTTATTCTGGTGCAGCTGTATTTCCAATGCTGTGTTTTATTTCAAAATAGAAGGCAGGAATTGAGAAATTCGATGTCATGCAATAAAGTGGCAACCTTCTAATAGGTAATAGCATTTCAGTTACATTTGCAGAGGAGGAGCACTAATCTAGGTATTTGCTGTATCATAGTAACCTGTTGACAATAGCGAGCATCTCTTTGTTTCTTAACTGGCTTTCGTTAGTGCAATAGGAGTCCCAGACTTACTCATCTGTGGAGATGAATAAGCAACCTTCAAAAAATTTGTCCCAGGTCCAAAGCAACCCAGGCCCTGTGTTCTTTGGCCTAGAACCCAGGCATCTGGAGTCATAGCCAGCACAACTTACCTTTGAGACCAGCCGAAGTGTGCCTCTTTAATATCTCCTTGAGGGAAAGAGTCGTATGTATGCACACACACACAGCTATGCGTCTGGTAACTCCACACCTTGCTGAATGCAGACCTGTGGTAGGAAGGTGCATCACAGCTGCATTCTTCAGACGAATACGCAAATTTTTGCTGCAACAGTTGAATATAACCTGACAATTATTCTCTTCAGTGTCTTGGGTTAATTCTATCCCTGGTTGAGTTGAGAATCCCCAAATGGTTATGTTATAGGTAAAAGATACCTGATAGGTCATTGTAATAGGTCGGGGTTTTTTTTTTTTTCCTTTAAAGCTATATTAATGTCATTTCTTAGGTGTCATTGCCTCTTCTTCAGTCCATTGTGAATCATGTGCACACAGCAGAGAAAGAACAGAACCCACCTCAGTCCATGAACGGTAAGAAATTTCATGTGGATGACTGCGTAAGGGGTTTGCAAGACTGCCAGTAATTTTTTATATTCAGAGTTAAATAGAGCAATAAGATGGAATTTAAGCTTTAGTGCGATGGATTGAGGCTCTTCAGTCAATCAAATTATAGTTCAATCAGTTCATTTTAATCACTTCTCTGGAGAGAAGTAAACCCCTATGTTGAAGAATATGCAGCAATTTTATTGATGGAAAGTTTAATTGTTTCATTTTTCCTTACCGTCTGTAACACACTAGACTTTTAATCAGTGGGAACTGAAGTTATAATGAAGTAAAGTCCACTTTCCACAGTTCACAACTAGCTGAAAATAATTGGGTTGAGACTCCCATCCAGACAGTGTAATGCCTCTGGCATTTTCCTGAAAACTACACTTAATTGCTTTGCTGATGTTGTTAAGTGGTCCTGAGGGGGATGAAGTAGTAAAGCTGCCCACATATGCAGAGAAACAATACACACAAAAAATGTCTTACAAGGTCCTTAAAGGAGGACCAACTGGTGACTAAAAGAAAATATATGGCCTTTTTTTCCCCTCCCTTCTCTATACCAGAGAGAGCACACAGAGAGGCTGATAAAATAAACCAGGGAAACTCTATAAACACTAACGGTATTTTTATTTAAAGACAGAAAGCTTGGGACCACAGGTACAGAACACGTCAACTCTTGCAATCAAACCTGCAACTCACTTGGCATTTTTACACTGAACGCCAGTTAGCGTGCTGCCTATCTTCAGCACCTTGAGTTTGAGCAACAGATGTACTTGTGTCCCTACAGAGGGAGGACAGCTTGCTCGCTGTGCTCCAAAGTGGCAGCATGTGAGCCAGCTATGAGCTGAAAGCCTTGTCCAGGCATCAGTGGGATGAGCAAGTGTACTGCAGTAGGCTCTAAAAATGGTCAGAGAAGGAATAACACTTCAGAATTGCTCCTTATTTGGTACAGTCATAGGGAAAACCTCTGTGGTGGTTTTACCGTGCTGGGCAGCTAAACCCCACAACCGCTCTCTCACTTCCTCCTCTTTTTAGATGAGGAGGGGGAGAAGTAAAGCAAAGAACAACTCATGGGTTGAGATAAGGATAATTTAATTAAAGGGAAATAATAATAATAATTAAATAAAGATTATTATGAACTAAACAATTTAACTAAAGGGAAATAAAAAGGGAAAGGGGAAAAGGGAGGGGGAAAGGGAAAATAAAAAGAAGGGAGGAAAACAAACAAATAAAATAAATGAAGGCTATGTGGGAGTGCAGAGGAAAGAAATTACTCTCTACTTCCCACAAATGAGCGATGATTGACCACGTCCTTGAAGCAGGGCCTCAATGCACGTATCTGGTGTTCGGGAGGAGGACCGACGTTTTCCCAACGAGAGCCCACCCCTCCCCTCTTCTTCCTGTTTCCACCTTTTATTGCTGAGTGTGACATCACATGGTATGGAATATCCCTTTGGTTGGTTTAGGCCAGCTGCCCTGGTGATGTTTCTCTTCTCACTTTTTGCCCACCCCCTAGGGAGGGTTAGAGAGAGGCCCGATGCTGTGCCAGCACTGCTCAGCAGCAGACACAACACTGGTGTGATAACACTGCTGTTCCAGCTACAAGTGCAGAGTACAGCGCTGTATGGGCTGCTGCAGGGAAAGTTAACATTCCAGCCAGGCCCAGTACACCCTCCTCAGCTGATTAGCATTTGAGGCCTAAAATGATGAGTGACCTGCTAGACTCAAACACATTCTGATGGAGAGATAGTTATTTAATAGAGAAAAGTACTAATAAACTTAGCTTCACACAGTTTTTTTTAAATTGCTTATTTACATAAGTGGGCACAGGAAATCTCTGGCAACAGCCTGGCCTTCCTCAAGGTGGTAGCTGTGTAAAGTTCAGTATGGCCTTTGTTTATTGTGTTCTTGCTTTCACAGGCTCTGAGCTGAACAACTACCCCTCAAGAATACAGGAGAAGTTTAGGCACCGAATTCTAAAACAAAAATCCTAATAACCTCCTTTAATGTCACAGCTGAGCCATTAGGGAGATCCCACAAGAACCTCCTTGACTCTAAGGTTAGTACCTTAGATTTGGGCCAGCAAAGCTCCCCAGGCACCTGAAGTGATGCTTTTTCCTTTAAAGTATGCTCAGGTCTTTACAGAGCTTGAGTACCTCGGCATCTAACCCTGTATGGGCCTGACCAAGCCCCACAATAGGCTTTAATGCCCAGTTCTCCTATGGCAAAGTAGTAACCTCCCATACAATGGAACCACGAGCCATATGCCAAGGAACTTGAGCTGTTGGTTTTGAGACTAGCACTGGGAATAGCACGTTGTGTCTAATCTAGTCTGTTTGCCTGCCTCTGGGAGAACAGCGCAGCAGCAGCAGTGGTCTCTGTTGTTTTTGGGGTCCCTTTGTGAGACAAGTAACATGGTACGGAACAGTTACAGCAAATAAGGCCTGTGTTTGGAAAAGCTGGGAGAATCTGCTTGGTTTTCGTACTCTGATTCTGAAGGACTGCAGAAACCAAGAAAATCTTCACTGCAGAGGAAAAGAACCTGAAACGTGGCATGCTAAAATGTGCCGGGCTGTTCTAGCTACTCTTCCCTCAGCCTTCTTCAGGAGACAAGTTACTGTCCCAGAAGGGGTAATGTGTCCCACAGCCGTAATGTAATACTGTACGGCAGAGGTGGCAAGCTGGCTCTCCCTTGTAAGCAGATGTGCTTCGATTCCTGGGTCTAAATAGAAATAAGAGGGCGTGAATGTTTTGACACACTTTCTCCTGATTTGGCATACTGTATGATTACAGCATGGTACAGACTCCAGAGGAAATCCAAAATACACCTTCCTGTACAGGCACAAATCTGACTGTCTGATAAACTGTTCATATGGAAAGACATGATTTGCATGGTTGTTCTCAAAGCCAGTGTGTGTATTCATTAGTGGAAGCATGTCAGATAGCGAATGTCAGTAAGATGCCTTTGATATGTTGGTGTCTGGATAATTTTTTTGACCAGCTGAATGGCATATGTTTAAATGTAAACATCTGTTCTGTATTTGTACAGTACTGTCTGTATTTTTTATATTTTCCCTTGGCTAAGAGTTTGATTGAAACCTGCGAAAAAATTGAGATTCATCCCATTTTTAAAGAAACACAACTTCTGTATTATTTCAGCATGTGTCTAGTATGTTTGTTTTCTTATATGGGGAAGGCATTTAAAAAAGGATATATTTTTTTTCCATAACCAAACCAGACTCGGTTTCCAGGCAAAATAAAGAAATTGATTTGCCTCTAAGTCTGTTAACTGAAAAGAATGTTGTCCCTGTAAGAGGGAGTAAGTAACAGTTCTGTGGTAATGACAGTGTAATGGTTTTATCCAGAAAGTTTTCTGATGCAGTTAGAGAACTTGCCATGTAATTAATGACTTAATAAAGAAATGAAATAATACATTTGTTAGTCTATTTATTATACATGGGTGTAACTGAAAAAACAGTGTCATAACAAAGGGATCTGAAAACAGTTATTACAACTCATCAATCAAATGAGCCACTGGAGCACTGTTCCTGATTCTATAACCAGCTTAAAAAGCACAGTTTGATCTAAAGTAATGAACAGTATCTTACTATTACAGCAAAATGACACGAGACATTAGAAACCAACTGGGAATACCTGGAGTGTGCAGAGCTAGTGTCTAATGCTGAAGGACAGGAGGATCTTCAGAAACATTGCTAAGTGAGTGACTGTGTTGACTGACTATGAACTTACCAGCATGATGGCACGAAGAGGCTCTTGAAAGAAGCAACAGAACACAACAGAAAGTTGTCTACTGACAGCATTACGAGCATTTCTTTAGTAAATGCTTTGTTCAAGCATACAATCACACTCTCATGAGTGCCCCATGAATACTGGTTTCTATGTTTTGATAGCAGTGAATAACAAATGTCAGCTCTTGGTGGACTTCTGCAGTCTGGTCTTTGTATACTTTTTATATATGTTATCCAATGCCTAAAATAAAATAAAGTTAAAAAACAAAACAAAACCCCGTCACATGTAATGTGAGAAAATTAAATCTATAGTAAAAAAGAACACCCAAAGCTCCATATCAGAGTCATCATAGCAACACAGAATCACAGCATTTCATAGCCATAGCTTAAAAACAAAACACTTAACAAAGCAAGCAAACAACAACAACAAAAAACACACTACAAGCTGGGTAGTATTGGTGCTACTAACTTGTTGTTCAGTTTAAAAAAATAATTATAATAAAGCCCAAACTGAGCTGCTGCACTGGCAAAACCTTATAAACCTTATTCCTGGGCACTAGGACGAGGCTAGCTAGGCCGAGGTGCCTCGGAATCAGTGCCATCTTGTGGCTCTTTATGATATTAAAAAATAAATGCCAAAGCTCACACCTCTGCTACAATAACTGCAGATGTTCTTAGGATCAACCAAAGTTAAAAACAAACTGCATGTGGTAAATGATTTAAAACATAGTAAGGCTATGTAAATTTGACCATAACTGCTGCAGTTGAGCATGGAGCAGCTCACACCACCTGAATGATTAATGAGGCAAATGCCTACCAATTATGGATCGCTGAAGGTGCACAGTGAGCTGCATGTAATTATAAATCCTAACAACAGATGGAAAATTTTGCAGCATCAAAACCCTGCTCCTTATTAGCCATGTCCTGTTCTGTGCAAGGGAAGCAGCCAGAGAGCGCGGCTGCTGTGCTGGGGCTGGGGCGTTACCTCCACTGCGGGGCTGCCGGGGTGCTGCAGGCAGAGAAAAGCCAGCACCCCCGTCCCTGCACCCCAGGAGCTGCAGAGCAGGTGCTGGCTGCCTTTTATAGCAGTGTGCTGCTGAGCTACGTGAACTTGGGTGTCAAGGTGAGTTGTGCTTTAAATAAACAAACAAAAAACACCCCAAAAGCACCGACGAAAAAGAAAGCCTGTGAGAACAGCATTAGCTTGCTCTTTAGAGTTAACTTTCTTCTGCATTGCTTACACAATGTCAAACACTTCACATCTGAGATGCTCGTTCCTGGCATCAGCCTTAGCTGGGGCCCAAAGAAGCAGCTGCTATTGCTGACTCAAAAAAAAAAAAAAAAAAAAAAAAAAAAAAAAAAAAAAAAAAGGCAAGAAACAAAGAAAACTAAACACAGATGAAATTTAACACCCATCCTCCTCTTCCCACAAACCCACCCAAGTAGCTGAAAAGCACCTATAGCCTTTGTATTGTTGTTCTCACCCTCTCTCGCTCTCAAGATATTAAAATTTAAGTAAATATATAATAATATAGTATAATACAATACATATTTCATGCACAGCATATAAATTATAAATATAGCATATAAATATAAATTATGGAATATAGGTGTTATATATGTGTAATATAACCATATAAAACTGTACATAAAGTAATATGAACACATACATTACAATGTAAATACATCAAATATGTATATATCATACATAATACAATTACAATAAATATATCCCATAAACCTAAACATAGGTAATACAATAATATAATGGTTGTTATGAACATTATATAGTGTTATTATATGTTCAATTCATAATTATGAATATTAATAATTTTATAACAAATGTTATATATTATAAAATAATTATATTGTGTAATAATTACCTATATAGAATCAGTGACTCCTGCAGTGTTTGAAGAGGCCACATTTTGTTCCTAGCAGTGTAACATTGATTGCATAAAAAGGAAGGCAACAGCTACATGGACAAGATTTAAGAGAGATCTTTGAGGCACAGTGTGAGTCGTTTGCCAGGCTAGCTGTTACACAAGGCAGACGTTATGTCTTCACCCCCAAAAGATGCTGAAGGAAGGTGGACAGAGCCATGCACGCTTGCAGGTAACACAACGGCTCACCAATACCTTTAATTCATCCATGTCTCATTATCAACATCAGACTGCTCAAGCGAGCCAGACATTTCCCGCAAAGGCTTTTTGGTAGCATGTATTGTTTAGTGACAAAGTTAGCATCTTATTTCTGCTTTCCTCTGATACCACTTCTGTCAAGTATTTGACCTTTTTTTTTTTTTTTCTCTTTCAATGACCCATAAATTCTTGTAGTTTAGGTTTATGGGATTAAAACCATATGTATTTATATTTATTTATTAATTTTAAGAAATATGCCATATTTCAACCATTCTGAAAAGGCTCTCAATCTCATGCTACACAGTTTACTGCACGACTCAAGCCTTCTGATGGCCTTTGACACTCATCTAGTATAATTTTACTATTTACTTAAACTTAGGTAGAATTACCAAGCATGGTTGTTATGATTTATTTTTTTTTATGCTTATTGCAAGGTGCTGAAACATGTCACAATCTCTCTGTAGATGGTAGAAATGCTGTGATTTCAGACATCCAAAATTTTCCATATGTACAAGGATTAAAACAAAATTAGAAACTGATTTTTCCATGTTGATTTGTTTATAATTAAGTTATATTAAAAAAAGTGCATTATATTACATTGTCCGTAACAATTTCTGTTTGCTAAACAGATGACTGTAAGATTCACTCCAACTTGAACGATGCACTTTTTAAGTTTTGTTGTTGTTCTAGATTAGGCAAACAGTGCTTTTATCTAAGGATAAACTGCATTATTAATCTCAAAGTGATCTTACAAATAGTTATAAGCCATTATTAAAATTAAAAAATAATTGATTCCAATTGCATTTTTTCTTAAGAAAGATGAAAGTAAATAGTATTTCTTTCAGATGTCTCTAATTTTCAGTACTTCACATAGACTTCTGTATGTTTCCTAAACTTTCACTATAAATCTCTAACTAAGCTATCTAACTACTGTCATTATCAAAAAGAAATTTGCTTTTCTTTTGACTAAGAATTAGTTATTCTCTCCATAGCCTTTTTCATCACGTAATGTGCACCCTGTAACAACCTCTGAAGGAATGGAAGCAGAAAATACTGCATCTGCCACTGAGAGGTAAAATTTGAAACCAGCTCCAGATTTAAATTTCAGAATACCCAAGCTTCAGTGTTCTCAGCACTCCCTTTCAATTTTCAAAAATACAACACAGGTAGTAGCTCACATTTCAAAACATTCAGGGGGTTCTCATTTTAGAGTTTGGGCTCCAACTTTTGGAGAGATCTTGGTTTTGTAACCTCCAAAAACATAAGGCAGTCAAAAATAATACTCTGGCTTGACTCTCCCAGAGGAATGTTTTCTCCCGTTTCTTCCCTTTATAAAGCTGGTCACAAGTCCTGTTTTGCCTATAGGATTCATTACCGTGTTATAGCTCCTTACATTAGCCTAGGTTTTCAAGTTAGCCCTTGGAGAGATTGTATTTCTACTTTGTAATGATTTTACCGTTGGAGAAGTTCATCTAGAAAGATGCCTGGAAAACAATGAAGCCACTAGGGGAATTCTTTTCTTCTTGAAGAATCTATCACTCCACAGTAGAAGAATCGGAGGGCTATGTTAAGCTTGCTACATCCTCTATCAATCTTTTGTTTGATTATCACTTTATCAAGTTGCTTGCACTGTGAGAGATTAAAACGGTTAGGTGAGTGCAAAGCACAGAGTTACCGAGCACTCTGAATATAAGTCAGACATCAAACTAGTTTTTGAAGTGCAGAACTACTGAGCTTTCACTTTGTCACACAAGCAGATGTTGCCGAAGGCAAGGAGGAACGGAGCGGTGCATTTTTTTCAACTTGGCTGCTGAACCGTACGCTACCTGAAGAACCAGACACTGTGCAGCTACTGGTTAGAAGCCTTTCAAACCTGCCTTCTGCCTAAGGGCTATCAGATGTGCAGCTGAGGTGGAGAGAGAGATTTTTCCATTGTCAATCTCCGTAACTTGAGGACATGCTGCTCACTGCAGTAAGTAAATGGTTGGGCTGCTTTAGATCAGGAGAGAGCTTTATTAATTTAGGAGTCTAACAATATTATTCTTTTCTTTTGCTCTACTTTAAGGAGAGTTCTGCCTAGTGTGGGAACGAGCTGCTAATGAGCAGAGATGAAATATCTCACCTAGGGATCCTGGATAGTTATTCAAAATCAGGGTGCAGGTTAATTTAGTCTGAAAGATCCAGCCAAAATATCAGCCATAGATACTACTTTCTGGTAACTGTGGCCTGCTATACATTTCAGATACCTTTTAATATTGATGGGAGTTTGTCCACAAGAGAATCCTGGAGTCTGGTAACTTTCCAATCCCATTACCAGGCTCTCCACCTACTCTCCAGAGTCCAAGATGCATCCAGCAAATAACTTTCTAGGCCCAATGAACTGGACAGGTCTCTAGGTAAGCACTCTCATGCATCCCACTGCTCAAGTAAAAAGTGTTTCACGTTCTTACTTGTACCAATATTTAAGGAAATAGTATACTATTCTTAATAGATAGGAAATTAATTTATAGGCTCATGGTATGTGATGGCAAGGGTTACAAGG